TTACATATAAGTTTATTTATATTTAATATATTAAAATTCAAAGTATTTATAAAACAATGTATGGTAAATCACAAGTTACAATATTAACAACATGATTACGTGTTTCATGTGATTAAAGCTAAAACAACAATGTTGATAGCATTGTAAATTATTTTGATAATGGTACTTTTATTATGTTATTATTCTTGGTAAATCATTAATTCACATTTTTTATTACATTTTATATTTTTATTACAGAGCTCCTTACAAATTGTGAAAGTGAATTATTAAAAAATGAAAACTTATTCAGTGATGATGCATTGTTATCACAATTAGAAGAGCCTTTGGGCATGGATACAGAAGGATTAGACTTTTTAAATTTTAATAATAGTAAAGAATTAAAAGATTTTAAAGAATTTCAAGATTTTGAGGATCCAAACATTATAAAGTCTGTACCAAATGGGAATGTAATGTTAAATCCAGCAATAACAGAAAATGTACAACAAATTCCTTGTGTTTCTCAACAACAACCTCAACAACAAAAGCAACAGCAACAACAACCACAATTACAAGATATATCATCTGTACAAAATAGGACACAAAGAATATCTGTTACACCAGCACCTACAGTATTTAGTTCACAATATGCTATCCCACAAAATGTGAATTTTAGTGTCCAATCACCTGTGGTAACAATAGCACCAGTGACACAACAAAGACAGTTACTTTTGCCAGCAAAACTTATAAAATCAGAATCAGTTGTTTATTCTAGAGGTTCACAATCTTCAGCTTCTGTACCACATCAAATACATACCTTAGTAAACACTGCTAATGGAACAGTTTTAACTGCTGGTAAGAATCACGACAGTTTAATTAATTGTACTATGAGATTTGTATTAAATTTATTTATTATATTCTAATACTTATTTAGGTATTCCTGTTGTGCTCGATACTGATAAAGTACAGATTAATCGTTTGAGTACAAATACACATGTTGGTGTACCAAGAGTTAAAGAAGTGAAGCGTAGTGCTCATAATGCTATAGAACGACGTTATAGAACATCAATCAATGATAAAATCATTGAATTGAAGAATATTATTGTTGGTGTAGATGCTAAGTTAAATAAATCAGCAATTTTGAGAAAGACTATTGATTACATTAGGTATATTATATTAATATCTGTTAAATTTTTTAAGATATGTATTATAAAATAATGAAAATTTTAGGTTCCTCCAAAATTCCAATGCAAGATTAAAAGCAGAAAATATGTCGTTAAAATTGGCCGCACAAAGACAAAATTTGCGTGATTTATTAGTATGTGGTGAACTTACACCACCTAGATCAGATTCAAGTGAACCATCGTTATCTCCAGCACCAGCACCATTATCTCCACCATCTCCACCTTCCATAAAAGATGATCCAGATGTACTACACAATGTTCATTCAACATCTGTTCTTACGAATCAAGGCATGAGGGATCATACGAGACTTACACTCTGTGGATTCATGCTCCTCTTTTTAGCATTTAACCCTTTAGGTCTTCTTATAAATAACGTTGGAAGATTCAATTCTGATTATATAAATACAAAATTGGATGGTCGTACAATTCTTAATTATCAAGGTATAATAGTATTTACCATTGTAATTATTATTACATTATAATAATTGTACTGTATATGATAAATAATATTTTTATCGATCTGTTTTAGATCAATCAGAGTTTGAAAATCCAGTTTGGAGTAATGTTCTTTTGTGGCTAACAAATGCTATACTTTTAATTGGTGGACTCTGTAGATTATTACTTTATGGTGATCCAATACTGCCTTTTGACAGTAAAATATTTCTTGAACTTCATCGGTGGAGACGTCAAGCAGAATTTAATATATCGAAAAATGAATATAGTCAAGCGTATCGGGATTTACATCAGTGTTTGCAATACTTAGGTCGTCCATATCCATCGTCACGTACAGAAGCTTGGCTTGCAACTATGTGGCAAATTATAAGGCAAATTCTTCACAAGTTATGGATTGGGAAATTTATTTTGAATATTCATAAATGGTTTTCTGATAAAACTATACGGCAACAAGCAGAACTATCAGCTATGGAAATAGCTATTATTTATCAGCATATGCTATGTTTACGTTTGTCAGAAGGATCAAAGAAAGGAACATTGTATCTTGCTCTTTCTGCAGTAAATTATGCAGAAGCCACTGGTGAAACCACATCAAAATCATTATTAGCAGAAGTATATATTAACGTTGCATTGTGCTTTAAACAGTCTCTTTTCCCATTTATTCATAAATATTATTTGGGTAAAGCACGTACATTACTATCATCATGTGCAGTTCCGCCAAAATTAAAATGGATAATGAGCGATGAAGGTGCTAAATTCTTAGCATTTCAAAAGTGGCAATATGGAGATCAATCGGATAATGAATTTACATCTCAAAGTAGTAAAGCCGATCCTCTATCATATGCATCACGTGCATATAGAGAGTACTTAATTGGACATTGTTTACGTATTTTAACTGGTACTGCAGGAGACGCTCATTTATCTTCAATATTAGAATATGGACAAACTATCATGGATTCTGCTGGAGTAAATGCTGGATTTTTATGCACCGACAAAGTTACAGTTACACGTACGTTTTAAATCAAAATAAAATTTATGTAATAAGTTCATTATGATGTGAAATAAATTTTTTTTAATAGTTGAATGTATAAAAATTAGGGGAACTAATACTTTATTTCTGTAATGTTTTAGATTGTGAAGATGAAATTGGATTATGGTGGGGAGCAGTTATGTATGTAGCAGCATGTTGGAGATTGAAGGAAGATGATTCACAAGCATGGAGTATTGTTGAGAGCAAATTTCCTTATGAAAAAAATTATCAACTTTGCAATAATAATAATAGTATTAGTCCATTGCCATATATTGTTTTGAATGCTTTGCAAGCAGCAAAAGCTACTATTAAATCAGCTTCTATGCGTTCTATTGATCAAGCAGGAATATTACTTGAACAGTGCTTGGTTTACTACCATTGCAAACCACAGTCATCTCAAAATGTCTTGGTAAGATGTCAAATATTCTATTTATAACATTAATGTTTAATTTTAATAATGGCAATTAAGCATTATTAAAAAAATTTATAATTTAAAAAAAAAATCAGCGTTATTTACAATAAATCCTTTGAAAATAAGTATTTTCTTTACTTTCTTTTATAATACTAAGAGAGATGTTTAAGTGATAACGTAATAATAAATTATGTGCATGAATTCACATAAAGTATAGCATTTAGCTCAAAATTAAAAATGTATAGTGATAATAGTCCTTATGCATATATTTATACAATTGCTTACCTGTTACAAGTGTGCATTGTAGTTGCATTGCATGAAATATAACTATGCAATACTTCTACAGTGCAACTCCTGTGGCAGGTCTCAGCACCATATAATAATATATATCTAGACAATAAAATTTACTATATATTTACAGTCTTTTTAAAACTACAGTTTTTCTTACTGTTTTTCATATTTTTTAGCTTACTCAATTGTGGATTTGTGATTGGTTACTTGAGATGCGAACCACATTTTGGCAAGAATTAGACAATGATTTAGAAAGGTCAACTACAAGTATATATCTTGGAGGTTTCCAGCGTGATTTAGCTTGTTTGAGACAATTATGTCAGCATATTCCAGTAAATATATGTTTTGTACATATTTAAAAAAAAATGTATGCTTTTCTTCTATTCAGTTATCATTTTTAATAGTTGTTATATACTTTTCAGTCTACATTAGCAAGAGTATTTCTTTATGAAGCCACAGCACGTATAATGGCAGGAGCAACACCAGTGAAAACTCAAATATTGCTAGACCGTAGTTTACATCATAGAAATTCACGTTCTTCAATTATCTGTGGGAAAGATCGTTCACAGGACCAATACAGTGGAGAAAGAGAACACGCGGTAGCTTTATGTTTAGCATGTCGACATTTACCTGCGTTATTATTAGCGTCTCCTGGAGAACGTGCAGGTATGCTTGCAGAAGCTGCTAAAACTCTCGAAAGAGTCGGCGATAGAAAAAGACTTCAAGAATGTTATAAATTAAGGCGACAATTGGGTCCTGTAATTTCTGCTAACTGATGCATTAAACAAAAATACATTCGCGTATTTAATTGATATTATTGCATACTATGTAAAGTTTTTGTACATATGCGACATCCAGAAAAGAAATTGTTTTATTTCTAAATAAAAATATGTAATCAAGAGATTTTTAATTTAATCAATACACACACGCGCGCGAACACACATGTAATGTATATGTAATGATAGCATTGAACGTTTAAGTCACATATTTGAATTTTCTTAAGGCATAAATC